GTGAGATGGTTTCACTCTTTTGGCTTGCAGCCAAACCCAGTTTGCTCTCTCACTCTCCTCCTGTCCCTCCCCAGGAAGTAGAGGAGAGAGCTGGAAGGAAAAGGGCAAGGAGATTCAGCAGTTGAGATAAAAACAATTTACTAATTAAAATAAAATTATAATAACAGCAATAACTGAATACACAAATGAGTGAAGCACAGTGCAACTGCTCACCACCTGCCAACCGATGCCCAGCCTGGGCCAGCCAGTGATCCCAGAACAGAGACAGTCCTGAAACTGAAAACCCTGGAAGAGTGAGCCAGAATGATCCCCGAGAGAATACCCCCATCTTCCTGTCAGCCCTGGTTAATATACTGACATGATGTGATAAGATATGGAATATTTCATTGGCACATCCAAATGCCAGTTTTGGGTTTTGCTGTTCACTGCGCTTCTCCCTCCCAGTCCTAATACAGCTGTGAACAGCCAAACATGATGGCCTTGAGCTCCAGCAGCAACTAATAACATTACAACTTTATCAAAATTCTTCTCATAATGAATCCTACATTGAAACTAAAACACAGTCATTCTAGCTAGTAAGCAGAGAATTAACTCTATCCTAGCAAAGCCAGGACATCCTGTTTATACAGTTTCATGATGCTTTCTTGCCTGGTTATTGACAGAAACAGAATGTCAGACTAAGCATGTCTTTGATCTTCCCCAGTCCAGACAGACTTTCATTATTATACCAGTGAAAAGAGAAATGATAGGGCTCCAGATAGTATGAGGACAGAAAACAGAGATGGCATTTATGTTATGCTCAGTCTCCTAGGAAGAGGAACTTTACAGTATTTGCTTCTCTACACAGGCTACTTGCAAGGATGGGGAAAAGCATATGGTAAGTTCTTATAGAATGTACAAATTTAATTTTATTCCTAAAAACCTCTTCAATCTAATTGATTAAGAGTTGATGGTAATTTTCTTTTGTATTTGCTCCTGCTAAGTGACAGGGAAAAACCATGGAACTAAAAAATAAAGCAAAGGGAAAAAAATCCTGAGCCGTTCTGCTAATTTCTAAGCATTTTGCTCTTTATCTGTGTGTATCTTCGCATTCTAATGCACATTAAATAGCTGTGCCAGTTACTTGAAGTAGTAAGAAAACTGGCCACTTGAGGGCAATATTGCAATCTAATTTTCACAGTTTTCGCCTCTAAACCAGATCTCCACGTCATATTAAAAGATGTATCTCCTGGATAAGTGATGGTCCAGTTTTGTTTGCATATATGTTAAATATAAAAAATATTTCTCTTTATTAAAGTTTCCAAATACTTAATACATAGAGAGAGAATTTCAGTGATAGTTATAGTGACTTATACCACAGCAAGCTTAACAGCAAACTGCTTTAATAAATTATGTTTACTTCACTGCACAACTGGAAAATTGCTTAAGGGCATAGTTTCAGCGGAGGGTATCAAGGATTATGTAAGAACACCAGTCAAGAAATTCAAATCCAGGAGGCACCTGACTGTCTATTTTGGACGAGCAAAAGGATGATAAACCAGAGCCGACAGCAGAGAAGAGCCTTCCGAAGTGACACAGGAGGTGGCACCACTAAAGTCTACAAAAGTACATCCCTTCATTAAGAACTGGGACCAGGTTGGGCAAGGTTAATGGCAGGGCAAAGGAAGCACTTTGCAGTGTGTTAAACCTGAAAATAATTAATAAAAAATGACTGTTTTTCACAGCAGCTTCTATAAAACAGTAATAATATTCACAGGTCAGCCTTCTGCTGAATACACACCCATAATGGCGATTAACACAAAGGGAATTATTGCATACATAGACGGAGACCCATCCCTTAATTGGTACCATATGCAAAATAGACTGCTTCTATTTTATTATTAATTTTTCAATGCACAGATGGTCTAAATAAGAGGTTTCCAAATTTCCTTAAGGAAATATGGCTATTACGCAAGTCTCATATCAAAACACTAGCGTGGCAGAAAGCCATTCTCTCCCCTGCATTTCCTGCCTCTTCCCAACCAGGGCCCAAACCTAAAGCCATGCTTTTGCCACCCTTTGACTACACACAGAATTCTCATGCCAGCTCAGGATTTACCTTCTTTTGATTTCTGAACTGAGATATTAAAATATGTATAATCCAGAGAAAACTTGGCAGCTGGTGAGAAAAACATACTTGAACTCTTCCTGAACTGCCATTTGGCCAATGCATATTCAAGGAGTCATTCTGAAGCCTTGCCACAATGATTAGGATAACTAAATATGAGTCGTAAAAATAATTTACAATAGTTTACTAACAAAGAAGCATTGGGGAATGCAGTAGCATTTAATTCATTAAACTCCTGTTTTTTCTTTACACAGTTTCTCTTAATCATTTGATGTCATCTGGTGCTCCAACTCTAGTCTTTTTAAAAAGCTCTCCTTCATGTATACCACATTCTGGTTACTTTTAGCAACCATAAAGGGTTGTTGTATATAGGGATCATATTTTAAACTTAACATACTGTGTTTGTGATAGTAATGTAACCAAGTTAACCACAACTGTGGATGAATTTTTCATCTATAATAGTTTAATTATACTGGTATGAGAAAATTAGCCGACCAGATGCCTATATACACTGAGGAGGTCTCTAAATTATTGTGCAACATTACTGAAAGCAGCACATCTATGATGGCAATGTAGCAGATTAAAATTATTCTCATCTGCTCATTTAAAAAAAAAAATAATTCAGACAGCTGCTCTTGGGGAAAAACATATCAAACACTAGCAAATTTTTCTTGACCAAAGACTCCTCTATAAGCATGTTCCATTCCCAGAGACACCAATGGGTATTCTGTCAATCAGTGGAAGAACAGGTCTTAGAGATCCTTTCTGTCTTTCTCACTATTGACAGGTTGGAGCTTCACAATGTAACAAGCAATTTTCCTTCCTACACAATAGAGCTGTCAGCAACTGAAAGCTTAGGAGCGTTCTGGACCAGGTTCTTTGGCTGGTACAGACATGTGTAGCTCCACTGCCTACTCTGGCAGAGAAGATCACTCTGCTGGCATTGTATGTCCCACTGACAACAAGTGACAGCTCCATGAAGTTTATGAGAAATTTGATGTAATCTCATCCCAAAGGATATCAATGATTGAATTCAAACCTTCTCCCAAGTACTGTTTTCTGCCTGATGATTTCCTGCCTGATGCCTCTGCACCAAGCACAGAAACCTCTATGATTTTGCCAGTAGTGCTTTCTGGCCACTCCATGAATTCCCAGTGTCTCACTTCTGGAGACTCTCAGACTCCTCCTAGATTCTCTATAAAGCACACTGTTTATGCTGTGAGACAGTCTTATACATTCCACTTTCCATAGTTTTGTTAATTAGCATTTCAATCTATATATCACTACAAATATGCTTTCTGTGGTGCCTCTTTTTTGTTTCTTTCTTGACATTTCGACAAGTTTGCCTAAAGCTATAGAAGATATAACACCACAGCAGCAGTAAACAGATTGGAACCATTGTAGATGTGCTGCTGCTTCTATCTATCATTTTTATTACTTCTTCAGCTGCCAAAGTGCTCTGTAAATGGTGGCTGGCACCCCGTACAACAAACTTCCCTCAGTGGGAATTATTTTACAGAGCCATATCACAATTGCTAATGACTACTAGTCTTTAAAGTAGTCCCTACTTCAGCTGCAAGTGATGTTGATGGACATTGCGCTATTTTAATAAACATAAACCAAAACTGAGCCCCAAGGTTTGAAAGTGAGTGACCATTAGTCTTCCTAAATGTAAATAGAGGAATATAGATGGCAAAATAATGTATGTCTGTGGGCTTCCATAGCTTCTGAGGGAGAAAAGAAAGAGAAGTAGATTCATGTCACCTAATTTGGGCAATCAAGAATTTGTCATGTTCTCCAAGATCATCATAGTCCATGGAAGGAAGCAGACACTTTTAGCAGGAAACTCATCTCATTCCAAAATTAGTGTCTAAATTGGGTGGCATGATTTGTTCTCTAGACGTGTCTGTTTCTCCAATAACTAGAATTAGATAATGAGCTTAGACTAGAAACTTTTAACTTCGAGAGAGCTAAAATTGTAAAACATACCAAATGGCTAGCATCGTCAAGAGTCCTTACAGTGACACCACAACACTCAGCCTGATCCAAAGCCAAGACCTGCTCCTACCTCAAGAGGGTTACATGAGCAAAGAGCATCCATCCTCAGATAGCTGCTGCAGAAGCTGATCTATATGACCTCAAGAAATTACTGCTACTTTGTGACCTTATTCCTTCAAAAGGAAAGGAACAGATGCAGAACTGTAGGTCCTTCATGATGAGCTGCCATGTTCCAAGCACAGTTCCTTGCTGAAGGAACAAAGGAATAGGAAGGCATGCTTGGAAATCCACAGGACTGCTGAGCAAACTAAATGTGGAGAGAGTGGTCTCTCCAGGCACTTGGAGATGTTCAGAGTTAATCCAATTAAGGCACATATGAAACATCCTCCATGAAACTAAGACTATGAGAGGCCCACCCTCTACATGGTATATACTTCCCTCCCCATATTTAGAAGTGTCCTGGCCCTCCTCCGTTCTGTTTTACTGCACCTAAAAAAGAAATCTAAACAAACTATCTAAAATATTTACTTTCTTTTTTTACAACACTGTCAATATCTGGGCAAAAGATGTTACTGCATGACAGTACCCCCACTGCTGTGCTTTAGAGAAAACTCCAACCTTGCAACTGCTGTCAAATGTCACCAGTAAAAATGGGCTCTTAGGCAAGCAAATCCCAGTGCCCTTCATAACCCCCACTGCACAGGGCAACTCTTCCCTATTTCATGAAGCAAACCCCACGTGTTCTGATAAATTAAAGCTGTACATTAGGAGAATATTCACTGTCAGCTGTGAACTGCAAATAAAGAAAGGGTAAAAGAGAAGAAAGATATTATCTAGTTTTCTGTCTCTGTACTTTGCCTGACAGAAGGAAAAATTGGGAAATGAAATGTTTTACTTTTACAGAAAAGTGCTTCCTCTTGGGTGGATGCCAGACAGTGGCAGTTGAATGAATGAATGCCCGCAGAGGTGTTAAGGATGTCACAAGCACATATGCTTTGATGATGACAGAAAGGTCTTGAGCTTTAAGGATGTCCTTGTGTTCTGGTGAAGCTGATACTTGATTCCTGAAAAGTAATAAAAATACATAGCTTTAATGAAGTACTTTGGCAAATTAGAAAAGTTATCTGTAAAAAAAATAGTGAAATAGTGAAATTAGTGGAAATAGGAAATTAGCCTTTTTTCCCCTGAGTGAAGCAACATAGTAGATTAAAACAAGTGGGCTGGAACAAAGCTTTATATCAAGTCTTTTTATTGCTTTCAGTATTTTTAAATCTCAATTTTTATACATAGAAAGTAACTATGTTAGGAGGGAGATATATTTGAGAGTACATATGAGTAAATGCATTGTGGTCATATTGTAATTGTTGCAAACTCAGGACATTCAGAGTGAAAGTAAACACATTAAAGAAAACCAACCAGCTTAAATAACAGAATAGCATATTCAAAATACCCAGATTTAACACTGATTTGTAGTGAATAAAAAAAAAAAAGAGGCCAAACAACCCCATGGAAAGACTGCATTATTGTTAGTACTTTCTTCAATGCAATAAAGGGACACAAACATGTGGTACTGAATGCTTTCCCTAATGAAAGCCATAAACTATAATTCCAAATATTATTAAAGACTATGATATCTAGGAATAACTCATAATAAATTAGTTAAACATAAAATAATTATGCAAGTCAACTTTGTCTAGCACATGACATGGCTCTCCAGATACTGGCCTACAGCTCCCATAGTCCACAAAAAGAATCAGACATAGAAACAGAACAGAAAAAACAAACCCAAGGGAAAAATGTGTTATTTAAAAGCTCATTATTTGGGGAAATCTGAGCTATACTTGGGCATATTCACAAATGTGGTTGTTATTCTGTCTGTTAAAATCTCCGAGTATCAACCCATTTCATAGCAAATGCAATGAGAAGATGACTATGCAAATTATCAGTCTCTAAGACTGATTACTAGTAAAAGGCACAGGGCTCTCCTCCCATTTCTGTGTAATCTTTGGCAATATGCGGCCTTTCCAGACCTCAATTTTGCTATCTGTAAAGGGAATCTAATAATATCTATCTTAAAGAGACCTTTTCTTCCCTCTGCAGAATGGGAGGTCACCAGAGCATAAAATTTGTGAAATACCGTAACATAGGAAACAGCACTTGGACAGCCAATTCTCAAGTACTTTTTGGTTCTTCACTTAAGGGATGGTCTCCATATGTGTGCCTGTGGTAGGGGCATGGCAGGGATGGGAGCAAGAAACAGCTCAGCCACCAGGAGACCTAAACACTCGGGGGTATCTCTGGATCTGTATTTATCCGTCTAGAAGTTTCAATGCTCTCTGCATAAAGACTTAAAAGTGCAAGCTTGGCTAGTGCAGAAACAAACATCATGCAAGTACAAGAGATGTGATACATTCTGGCGCTGTATCTTCTGTGGCAGCGGTCTCCTGTGATGCTACATTCTGTGACCCTGATTCCCAACTAACTGCACAATAAAGCACTGGCAGTTTCTGAGGATGGGGTATCGATAGCTTACGTGCTGGGCTTCGACCAGTACTGCAGACGTGCAGTACGCATCTTGTCAGTGCTTTCGCTGCCCCAGGACATGTTGCTTGTGGCGCTGGCCCTTGACAGCCCAGGCTGGCTCGAGCACTCTGGAGTGACCACTGGGAGGTGCAGGTCTGAAAAAGTACCAAGGGGATGAGAAAGAAAGTCAGCAGAGCATTGTAAGCAGCAGTTGACTCCTGCTGTTAAGGATAAAATGTATAAAATATAATAGGTAGAGAGGAGCTACCAGTATCAGTTGAAAACGTGAAATAACAAATGCTGAGACTATAATCCTTTTTGGATCTGCTAGCAGGGAGCTTTACACCCACCAAGCACCCCTTTGCAGTTGTAAGCTCAGAGGCTTAGCTGCAACTCCCACTTTATCAGTGAGCTCATGGGTGTTGCATACAAAAAGCATCCCCTTCCCTCTTCTTCTAAATAGAAATCCTTTATTTCTAAATATAGAATACCAAAACTTTGTTTCTCACATAGCCCTAATTACAATTAATGAGGATAAGAAATTTATTTGACTAAGGACCTTGCCACTGTACAGACAGCTCAGTAAATAACCATATCTCCTTGTTTCTAGGTTCACCGTTGAAGGCTACATTATGTAGTTAATGAAGTCTATGGGAGGCTTAGTTCTGCCACTGAATGCAATGGGAGCAGGACTGCTGTACCAGAGTCCTCAAGATTACTGATGGATGTGACTATTAATAGTAATCAAAATATTGTGATCTGAGATCAGTCGAAAGGTGGTATGCATTTTCTGCTTTTACTGTGCTGATAAAGAGGCACAGACCCCTTATGTTATGTCATTATTTAATGTAGGTGGTTTTCATTAACTCTAACACACCTCACATTTCAAGTTCTTAAGTAATAGGGAAAAGTCAAGCTGTTCACATTATTCCCAAACCTTATTACTTATCTTTGTAATGACATACTGCATCATGCTAATGTTATGAATTTATTTGTACAGTTTCTCTTTTAAAGTATGCACTCTTGACTTTGGTACATGGAAGGAAAAATAAAACAGAAATATTTCTGGTGATGAGCTGTGAGCAGCCATTCAAGGAAAAGAACTATTCATTTTCATACAGTTCCTGTTAAAAAGACATTGTGATTGTCTGTGTTTATCAGCTGTTCATCAGATCAGCTTAGTTCAGCCTTTCAAGCTCAACTGGGATCTAAAATTAATCTGGTCCTTTGCCTTACATGCACCATTTGGCAGAATTAAAGGCTTTACTAATAAAAAACAGGCACTTATTTATAGAGCACCTCCTGTTCAGATTATACTCTCACTGACATTTTTGTGTTGTGTTATGCATTATAACTGATTTGGATTTTGTAAGTGACTACCTGTTTGTTGATGGTACAGAGACAAAACAGGCTACTGTCTGCCTACTTGGTTGTGCAAGTGATAACAGGAATAAGCAAGTAAACTCCCATTTTAAGGCATTTATTTATAAGACTTGCTTCTGAATATGCACAGGGAACAGATCTGCTAAATCAATTGCCATTTTTTCCATATCTACCTTGTAAAGACACAATGACATTTCACTATGGCAATTTACACCCTGTAAAGAGACAATGGCATTTCACCAAGGCAAGCTGCAATGGTCCCACAACAACTACTCCTATGCATCATTTTAGTTACCTAACTGAAGTGTCTATATTAGCAAAACAGTATTCTTAGGCTTTGTCTTTAGGCAATGGAGAGAGAGAGAGAGTCCAGTCCTTGGACCAAGAGAAACATTGGTTCTGAACTGCTCTCTGAAAAGGTCTAGTTTTGACACTGACTATGCAAGAAAGCTAAGCTACTTACCTGCAGCTGCAAATAATTCCAATTGTAAAGTTTGATCACACAGGTTTGGTGTTTGGGCAAAACCAAAATTATTAAAACACATAAAGGCCCTCCACAGTGCACAGATTACTTCAGAGATATTTTTCTGATTTATCTTCACATTGGTAAAAAGGCAAGACACAGCACTCTGCTGTTGCAACTGTCTATGGAGTTATGGAGCCAAGTCCTGCTCCCCTGTATCTTGGTACTGTAACGCATCCATCAGGAACAGCCTAGCACCATCTAGGCTCTAGACTCTGAAGTTCAAATCTCATGGCCCAGACCTTCAAACAGCAAGATACTGATCTGTTGACCATGAGTGGGATCAAAGTCACACAAAACTCAATGAAGCCCATGTCAGCAATCCAAACTACCCCCTTGCCAATGCTTCCTAGGGGGGCAGACAGGAGACAGAGACAGGTTGTCCCACCTTGATGGCTACAGCACACAGCTGAAAGGAGGCAGAACTATGCTTCCCGACCAAGCTCCCTATAACATATACATCTTTTACATTAGGCCATAGATAATTGATGACATTATAAGAACCATGCAAAGGACAAGAACAACAGCTTTTCTCAGCTGATCATCTGTAAACCAGTTATGTCAAAGGTGCACATTTTTCAGCAATTGCATTCGTTAAAATGATCATAATGTTGAGAAAAGGGAAATGCACATAACAAATTTTTTATTCAAAAGAAAGCAAATGTTTCACTGAAAATAAAAACAGGGCAGTAGAGAAGGGCTGTTTAACTCATTACTCAAGAGCAAGCAGATCATCTTTTCCTTTTAAAAATATGGTTTTAATTGTGTTGCTAAGGCAACAAGTAGCCAATAGGGTATTAACTTACAAGACAGAGTTTGAAAAGAATGAGATGAGGTTTGTACCTATATTTACCCCTCTTAAGTGAGAGGTTTAGCTGTTTTAGGGAAATAGAAAAGTTTACTTTGATACTAATTCATTTGCCACTAACCAGTGGACCATGTACTAGATGGACAGATGGAAAACAGAGGTGTCCTGAAATTCTTGAACCACTGGGTAGAAGATCCTTAGTGTTGCCCTAATCCATTGCAAAATGCCTCAATGTAAAAAAAAAAAAAAATGAATTGAAACCTACCATGTCTTAAAAGAAGAGAAGGCTAAACAAATTCAGGGTGTTGGTGATTAGCATCAAGAACTAAAAAAGGGGCAATTTAATAAATTATTCCTGATGCTATAGAGCATCCTGTTTGTATAGTGCCTTATACAGCTCTGTTGGTTTGTGTTAGCATCCAGCTGGGAGAGAGAACATCACAAGGTGGTTGGAAGAAGGAGAAGGGAGAGTGTCACAAGGTGCTTGCTCCTTTGAGATGACACACAGTATTGCGCACCACCAGGCAGAGTTAACAGGGAGTGACAGTCCCTCACTTTGGTAAATCTACTCCTAGTAATCAATGAATACAATTATCATAATAATAAAGAGACATCAGTAGCGCTGAACTGCAGCACACTCGGCTGCATCAGTTCTCATGGCAACTCTTCACCTGCTCTTGCACTCAAAAGCAGTAACAGTGTTTATTAGAGCTCTAAATTTGTTAATCAACATTATCATCAAGGAAAATTAGCCTGCAGTGCCTTTACTTTCTGCAGTAATTGCCATGTTTTTCCATCTTGAAATCACTCTACAAGCTGTTGTTAATTAACCAGTCCTTTTGAAGTATGTAAATAACATCAACATTTTATAATAGTAGAGGTGAGGCAGGCTCAGCAGTTGATGTGTGTCAGGCAGCTTGAGAAATCAAGTTAGAAAGAGTCCCAGTATCCCAGTGTCATGTCCAGATTACATTCCCTCTTTCAAAAATCCAGATATTAATATCACTATTTTTTTGTAGCACACTAAAGATCAGAAGAAAAAAAAAAAAAAAAGATGGAAACCAGAAAAGAACATCTTTCTTTTTAAAGTGGCTATGCAGTAATTGAAAGACTACATAAACTGCTATTTTTCCTGAAGAGCAGCTGCAGGCTTTGCCACAAGTACCTTTTGCTGATGTCATTAGTGATGATCCAGTGTAAAGCAAAGAATCTAAGGCTGGGTACTTGCTTTCACTTAAAAAAAATGTTTCACATCCTCAAAATTCTGGCTTGAAGAAGGTTTCTTATGCTGATGTCTCTGAAATGGTACCATTGAAAACATCGACAAACAGCACCATTTTACCTCTGCCAAGGGCATTCTCCACAGTGCCATTTTGCTGGGTAAGGAAGCGACTACAAGTTCTCAGCTGAATTAACACATTAGCCCTCTAACCAAAGCAATGGGTAAAGCATAGAACTGAGACACAGGAACAGCTGGGGTGCACATGTGAAAAGGAGGTATAAGATCCACCAAAGCAAGTCAACACCTCTAGATCAAAAAAATTAAGCACCTCTTTGTCATATGAACTGGTGGTAGATATTGTTTTGTCAACTGCAATCTCTCACAGTACCACAGAGTCAAACAGATCAGTTGACAGCAACAACTGATACCTAGTGCAGCAGCTACTCTGACATCTAATGAGGCCTTTCAAGTATTGTACCCAGCTATGACTTCTTGATCCCTCTCTCCCTGTCTCCGGCTCCCAAGTTATTTACTTGTCTTTGGCTTAGAGTTCTTAAGTGTAATGTGAGATTCAACCCATACGCAATAAAGAATAGCTGATTTAAGAATTACAATGTGTGGTTGAGTAAAAGGTTTGCTGATAGCTAGAAGTACATTTGGACAAATTAAGACCTCCTGGAGCAGAGCCAGGTCAGCGTTGACTTGGCTGTGGCCATGTGGACTGGTGGCAAATGGAACGCTTAGATGTACGTTTAACACGAACATCTGGTGATCTGTAAAGATAACGAATTCAGCAGAAGACCCTACTGGTTGAACTAAGTGAGTAACACTCAACTGAAAGACAAGAAAGCAGAAGATGAATGAGAATGTGTCCTCTTCTTTATCTTTTCTTTTATATTATCCTTTGATGTTACAAGGAGGGTTATGATATGGTTTTGTTTGTTAAATTTTTTACTTTGTTCAAGATCAAATAGGCTACATTTTACGCACTTCAAACGTGGAGCAAGGAACGATTAAGACTATTGTCTGTGAGAAAAAGGTCATTTTATTTCTAAAGTGCCCATCAACTGTCAGATCTGTTAGAAACATTTCAAGAGTAACTGAGTGACCTTGGGAGCTCCTGGTTGTTTAATGAAGCACAAGGCTAGCGAAGAGACGAAACACAACCAAGGTGCTGTGTTTTGTTCTGAGGCCAGTACAATGTTAATTTATTTCATAA